ATTGAGTATTGAAGACAGAAAACATTGGTGTAATAATGGAACCCTTTGAGGTTCACTCAGAGCTAATAGAAAGAACCAATTGCATTGACTCTACAGCTGAAAATGAAGAGTCCTCATCTCAGTCAACTGAACTTGATGTACCCACCCCTTCACTAACTAAAGCCAACTGCCCAGTACTTTGTAAGTCTTCCGGATTGGTAAAACCTCCCAAGAATGTGGGCTTGTGACAAAAAAAATAGAATAGGGAATGTAATAATAACACTTGATAACCCTTGAAGAACTTCCTTGGGAACTAAGGTTATCAGCTCTTAAGGAAACTTCTGGATTATGACACACTCTGCGTGCCATGAGTAAATGAAGGTGGTCTATTTAAGTCACTAACAGCAGCCTGTAAAATTAGTTTATCAAAGCTTCTTAAATTGTAATAGTGATGAAGTGGACTCACCCACACATGTATAAATATGAGAACAGAATATGAGATTAGGGATCCAGCAAAGTCGTATTTAGTGGTCATCTAAGACAACACAGTAGTATCTGCAGTTGAACTTAAGAGTGACTGAACTCAACTAAGTAATAGACACATTACAACAGTGGCAAGGAAATTATGGAAATTAGAAAACATTTTTTTCTTTCTTCTACAAAAATGGATTTACATTTACTTTTCCAACCCCAGACAGGTTTTGGAAGCATTCTTAAAAGAAAGAGAAAAAAACAAATTCTAGTCCAACGGATTCTGTTTCAAATTTTATGCTTCAGAGGATAATATCACATTTGAGGCATATTTTTGACATTTTGAGGATTCCTTTGCCAAAGAATGTGCAGGATGGACTGCCGAAGAAAAAAAGAAAAGGGTGTGTCCACTACTGAGGAGGCTGGGAACAAAAGAACATAGGAGCTACTGTCATTTTATATTACCAAAAACAACAAGAGACATGGATTTTAAAAACACTGTAAAAGTTTTTTTGACAATTTTTGGTTTTTCATACCCGATATCAACTTTAAGAAAAAAGACTATTTTCCCACATATGTGGAAATAGTGAACAGAGAATGTGAAAAGAGTAAATTAAAAGATTTAACAGAAGACAAGTTCAAATGATTCATTTTCATGTTGGGTCTGAAGTCACACAAAGATAACAAAATAATGACAAGAATGTTAGCAAAGCTTAAACAGGATATAGGGATAAATTTACAGATGATGGCTGAGGAGTGTCAAAGGTTAACAAATTTAAAACCTGACAAGTTTTCGGTTGAAGAACCAGAAGAAAGGACAATGGAGATCAAAGCAATAAAATATAATGCTAAAAATAATACTGCACCAAACCCCTATTATGGTTTTGGGGAATGCATTGCTGGAAAAACTGCCGTTTAAAACAAAAAAATGTTTGTGGCAAGCTTGAACATAAAAAATATTTTTGCAAGTGGAAAAATAAAAAAAAAATGAAGAATAATAACTGTGCTAAAAGAAGTCTTGCTATCCCAAAAAGAATAAATACTTTGAATAGAAAATTTATTCACATCTGCATGAACAACAAACCTGTAACTCTACAATTAGATAGGGGCTCTGATATTACTATAATTTCAGAAGAGACTTGGAAAAAAAATAGGTCCCCCGAACCTGGAAAAAAGTTACGTTAAAGTGCGTAGTGCCTCAAGGGAGAAACTAAAAATAGTAGGTGAATTGAATTGTGAAGTCTTGTTCAAAAACAAAAAAGTTAATGCAGTAACATACATGACAAAAGGAAAACAGTTAAATTTATTAGGTGCAGATTGCCTTCATTTGTTTAATTTATGGAATGAACCAATCAATTCTATTTGTGAGTTCATCAGTTGCTCAAATGTGAAGATTGACAGTTTAAAGAAAAATAATGGTATAAGTGTATAAAGACTTTTTTTTATATAGGAATTGGGTCTCTGCACTAAAGTGAAGGCATCTTTACAGGTAAAAGAAAATGTGAGACCAGCTTTTAAACCAAAAAGACCCATCCCAAGTGCAGATTTTTCAATGAGGTTGAATAATGCCCTACAAGACTATAATTATCTATTACCAATGGCTGAAGCAGTATTTATAAAATATAGATTTGTCAGATGTGTACATTCAAGTTGAAATGGAAGAAGTAAGGAATTTCTTACAATTAATACGTATAAAGGATTATTTCACTTTAATAGACTGCCTTTTGGAGTAAAAGTTGCTCCAGCAATTTTCCAGCAAATTGTATATACTATGTTGGCCAGACTTGATTTTTCAGTTGAATACTTGGATGATATTATGATTCGATACAAAATGGTAGATGAACACAAAAGCCATGTAGCAAGAGTGTTTGAACGAATGACTGGTACTATTTAGTAATAGTAGATAGTTTTTCTAAGTGGCCTGATGTGGCAAGATGTAGCTGAGTGACAACCAGGGGTACCATTAAAGTATTATGAGAACTGTTTGCTAGATTTGGAATTCCAGACACAACAGTAACAGATAATGGTACACCAGTTACAGCAAATGAATTCAAGGAATTTTGCAAAGAACATAGCATCAAACATGTAGCAATGCCTCTGTACCACCTGAGATCAAATGAATGCACAGAAAAAATTGTTGAAAACATCATGTGGGGGGTAGTGGAGATGGAAGAGTCACTTCAACAATTTTTGGCCACTTATAGGCAAACTCCAAACCCAAACACACTTGATGGGACTTTGCCAACAGAACAAATGTTTAAGTGGAAAATAATGTCATTTGATGAACTGTTGCTGATGAGTACACAGATAAATAAAATTTAAAAAAGGTGAATCAGTATTATTTAAAGTTTACCAAGTAGGTAAACAAAAGTGAGAACTGCGAAGGATCTACAAATGCATCAGCAAGGTGGTGTATTTGATTCAGGGATAAAATGGCCTACACAAGAGGCATATAAATCAATTAAGATTGAGCATATATAAAGAAAGGTGTCAGACATTATTATTGGAGTGACTATGTAATTTTTTCCTGATACCTACTCCAGTTGTTAAAATCAAGACTTTTATTAACAGGGGAAGATGTTATACCCCGAGCAACGGGGTGGACAAGCCAGCATGTGTATAAATGTGAGAATGGAATGTAAGACTAGGGATACAGCAAAGTTGAATTTAGTGGTTGTCTAAGACAACACAGTAGTATCTGCAGCTGAACTTACTCTTAGAGTGACTGAACACCACTATGTAATAGACTGCAACTTAATAATTGTTGATTATTTTCATTACAGTAACAGTTCTTTGAAAGAAGCTGTCTGAGTGAAACTTTTACTTTACCAATGGGAATGAGGATGATGGAACTCCATGTATATGACATGCATGGTCCTAGCTGTGAAGGTCTGAACTAGTGAAACTGAGGCATATAGATTGTCATCTTTGTCATGAAAATAATGATGAGTATCAAGAGGCTAACAATGTTTTTTTCTGTGGGAAAAGGGCTGAAAATAATTCATACACACACAAGGCTTTTGAACTTTACCAAGGTTTATTTGGCAGCAATAATCTATTTTTAGTTTTGAATTTAGAATAGAATTTTCTCTTAGACAGGCTGCAAACTAAGTCTAGAGTTCAGTCTACCCTACTATTTATCTACAGCTGAAGAAAGAAAAGATGGATTCATACTTTTCCAAAGGGCATTAGTGTAAAAGTGAATGCTACAGAATAGACTAGAATTTAAACTCAGTTTGATAATGCTACCCATGTATCATAATATAAAAAAATAAAAACTGATAAACAATTTTTGAATTTACCATTCCATATTGGATGCAAAATTTTAGTTGGGTAACATTAACAGAAATTATCTTTTTAGTATCTTTAGTTCAAAAAAACTTTTGCAATATAAGAGTGTATCTGAACAATATGAAGTTGATTAAAATTTTCCCCTCCATTTTTTTTAAAAAAAAAAAAGAAGAAAAGTGAATAAAGATAAAGAGATTGAAGTTTTTGTGGCATTTGCCACTGAGGGCAGCAGTAGCCAATCTAAGTCTATTTTTCTGTTAATGAATAATTTAAACTTAATTTTGTAAATGTTCTACATATGATGCAAGATTTGTGAATGTTGATTTTTAAAAAGATATTGTTTTAAAAGGAAAAAAAAAACTTAGTTATTGATGCTCAGTGCTTTCATTTTTCAATCTCATAGATTGGACATTTAGCAGCAGCAGCAAAATCACTACAAAGTTATTGACAATTCAAGCAATATTCACAATATATCAATTTACAAATCCATACATAATTTTCTCATCATTTATCAGCAAAGAGATCTGATGGAGTTGTTCAATAGGTACTCTGACAGGAAAATTTTATATTATAATAGTTTAAGCATTACAGATCATGAATATCTTAAATTTATTAAATTTTATGAATTTTATGGGGGTCCAGTTTGCTTTGTAAATTCATTGTAAACTGATACCCCTACAAAAGCCAAATCAAATATGCTCATGTAACATGAGTTCTTAAAATCTAAAAAAAAAATTAATTTTGGAAATTCATAATCTGGAGTACTTAATTGATTGTAATAATATATGAAAAAAGAACATCAGTTTTATTTTTTTTTTTTTTTTAACATTGTAAGAAATCATGTGATATGATTGACTTCCATAGGGGTATCAATTTGTAATGAATTTATATAGCAAAGAGGAACCCCTATTAACTATTATAAAATTTAATAAAACATGTTTGATGTAATCTTGACTGCTTAATCTAAAAGAATTTTGAAAAAACACTTCTGGTCACACTGCCTATTGCACAACTCCACTAGAAATCCATGTCGGCATTTTACTCTTTAGCTTATGTAAAATAGAAATCATGAAAACTCACGATTCCTCAGATTATCTCTAGAAACAATGAGAGATTGTCTAAATTTTCGCAATTTAAAAATATTAATTTTACTTGAAAGTAATGATTACAAGGGGTTAATATCTTTTTAAGTTTAGTATTTACTCAATAAAAAAAGTAATTTACTATTTTCCTTTTACATTAAAATGTGAATAACTTACTAGGTGTGGAAAAAGTTTCATGCATCCAATGCCAAGAAGCCTGCCCCAAACTGCCCCAATTGTAAGGCAAGGAATGAAGACACCACTTGAGATGCTCAGACCATATGTCCAAACAGAAAGAAAGAAAAAGACCACTAAGAAGATACACAAGGTAGTGATGCTGTATGAACCTGTAATGAAAAACACAAAGCATTTGTTTGTTTTAATCATAAATTATTGAAAGAAAGAACACATTTGATGCTATAAATGATCCATTGCCATTTACATTTAACATTACAATATTATGGAGTACCAACACTTGCATTTCGGCTATCTATGTTATATAGATAACCATGTAAGATCTGAGAGATATATTTTAGCTATTTTTTGTGGTGGGGAAAGTTGAGGTTCTCATATATCATTAAATATGATACTTATCTGTTACAAGTTAAAAGGAGAAATAGCCAAGCCATCATAAAACTATATTTGTTGGCTGGTATATAAGAAACGTGGTAAGGGACTTTTCTATAATAATAATCACAACTCAATCAGTAATCTACAGTCTATCTATAGTACTAGACATACAAACATCCTTTTTGTAGAAAAATGTACATTCATCTGGCAAATACAGTATAATTATTTTTATTAAAGTTATCCTTTAAACAAGGACATAACTATATTCATTTGTCAACATTGGAATAAAGTGTTGAAAATCATTTGTAACAGCTTTGTTATAGATGTTCTATTTTTTAAACAACTTGTACTGAGCAATGAAAAGTAGCTACTTTACAACATGAAATGCAAGAGATAGTGATAGTTTATTTCAGTTGCCCCACAAACAATATGAAAGACTTGTCTACAGCCAAAAAAGGTGATGTTACATGTATGTTGACAGTAAAAGACAATCTATGAGCTCTTTCCCACAAAAATTAAAACTATTGCTATTCTTAATTAGACCAGTTGAAAGTAGCAATTTAAGAAAAGTATACATCCAGAATTATGAGAAAGCACTAAAAATATTACATCAGGATAATGCTTGACTTCATGTTTTTTTGAATTGCTACAGCTTAGATGTAACCTTTTGCTCATCCACTGTAGTTGCCAGACTTTGCACTTTCTGATTATTATTTATTCGCATCTTTACAGAAGTCTTTTAAACACAATATCATTTCCTGGAAGACTGTAGAAGGCACCAAAAGTGCTTCTTTCATAAGAAAGATGAAAATTTCTGAGAGGACACGATTAAATTGCTTGAAAGATGGCAGACGATAATAAAACAAATTAGTGAATACATTTACCAATAAAGTTAAACAACAAAAATAACAAAAAAATAATTAACTGAGCAAACTTTTTATATTACTTAAGCTGAGTTTGCTGAAATAAAAGGTTGTTAAAATAATCTCCAAATTCCTGGATTCTCTCATCTTCTTGCAGATATTTCTATTTTTCAACTGAGTGTCATAAACATATGCTTAAATCAATAAAATCTTGAAATCTAGTTGGTTATGTATAAAATGCAAGTGTTGGCAATCTATGATATATAGCTAACATCTGAGTTATATTTTAGCTATTTTTCTTTATAATAAGATGGCATCACATATGCCAACAAATATGGTACTTATCTGTTACAGTTACAAGTAGAAATCGCTAAGCCATTACAAATTACCATATTTATTTATTTTTGTTTTATTCACTCTATAGATAATCATTAGTGATACAGCATATGCAACTATGCAAATACCAAAATCTCCATGGTTTTTAATAAATATAGTAAATATAATATTAATTCAAAAATTTTGTCTTCTGCTAGAAAAGTCATGCAAAATATATAAAGTTCATCAGTATGTCTCAAGAGTGTATCTTGGCCAACCCTCAAATAAGATTTTATAATAAGCTACTCTTAGTGAGTCATTGGCACAAATCTATTATTAGATTATTAACTAAATTGATTAAGCCTATATTTCTAATATAATCATAGCCTCTTAACTTAATTTTTTAATTATTTTTTAACTTGTCACCATAATATTGTCCCCTCTCATCTAGGTTTCACCTCCCTGATTAATTTATGTCCAAAATAATATATAACAGATTATGAGGGGACAGAAAATAGTTGTGTATTCTCTGCACTTCATCATCATTGTAGGCTATCTTGTCACACAAAGTTGTCTGGATCACATTGTGGCAGATAAGTTCTTGTGTGGTTGATTAAACTAACACAAGAATGTCACACTTTTCTGCAAATAGAGCATCCAAAAAGATCTTAGATGATAGCAGTGGAAGTATTCTGCATATTATGTCTTTGACATTATTCCTATACCTGCTACACTGTAATTTGAATAACATCCATGTACATACATTGATAATTGGTCCAATCACCAGTTAACTTTTCTAATTGGCTAAAGAAGTTACTACAGGTCCTCATGATGGCCCTAATGGGGTTCCTTCATGGCTAGTACTGACTCCTCACAGTTTTCACTTGACTCAAATTCACTGAAGAAAAAACATTGTGATGACATGGCTAACCCAACATAGCTGCTGATTGATAAGCATCACTTGTCAATCAGTAATTATGTTGAATGTCAAAATCACTTAAAAAGTCAGTTTTTAAAAATCCATACAAAGAAATAAGGCTTCATAATTGCATATCTAATCTTTACTATTGATTGATATTATTTGCCTGAAAACAGGATGATTATAAAACATTTTCTTCCTTGTATCTAATTTAGAAAACAATGAAAATTCCCAACACACAACTGCAACATCTTTTCAGTAAATGCTGTATGCATGAAAGTGATTTTTTTGGAAACATTATCATTCAGCCAATGTTGTCTTTGTAGCTCTTGCATCATCATCATCCTTAGCTCTTCTCTAAATTGGAGCTGGCATAATGGGCACACTCAAATCTGGGAGGATCATTTTCTTAAAGATCAAAATACTGCAAAATAAGTCAATAATTAGTAATTGTGTTTTAATGAAGTAAATTTTGCCTACCTGCTTTGTCATGCAATAATCCTTTTAATGTTGACTCTGGCGTGCTGAGGAACAATGAAGTAAGAGCATTATGTTCATGATTTCCTTTGCAAAATACCTGTATATTTGGTGGGGAAAAATGTGAAATATTGCAATATAAAATAAGACAATAAGTGCTACAAATAAACTGTCAGTTTAATATATAATTATTTATAATAATAATGATTGTTACAAGTTTCCTAATATAATCTTTAAATAAAAATTAAAAGTTTCTGGGTTTTTTCTCTCTCACACCAAAATGTGTTTTGTCTGAGATATGTAAACCAAGAATAGAAAAATGAAGACCCTATTCCTACTAAATAACATTGCTGGAATGTATGTGCTCGTCACATCAGTGTACAGAAAATAAAATAAAGACAAAGTACAAATTTCAAAAAGAAAAGCTTTACATCATTAACAATGTTTAGTACTTAACAGGTAAAACTCATGAAAATATTAATTTGTTTTGGTGCTGAATGTCTTAATGTACATCACAAAATTCTAAACTCTGCTTAAAATTTGAAATAACAATTTAGAAGAAATGGCATTATTTGCTGTTTTCATAATAGCAAAACAAGCAAGAACATTATAAATTTGCTTTTCTATTATAATTGAGTCATCTTTCTGAATAGTTCTGGCTTGGTCCAATAATTCATCGAGCACTAGCAAGTCTATACAAGAGTTTGCCTGTAAAAGTTGTTTTACTCTAACCAGGAGCCCTGCTAAGAACACATATGTAACACTCATTAGGGTAGTCTGCCAAACAAGATTGCCAACTTCTTCATTGTGGCCAAATAAACATCCAATTTGCGGCACAGACTCTTCAGCCAGTTGAATACCTGGCTGAAGAGTCCGTGCCACAAATTGTTTGTAGGCAATGCAGGGATCAATGGCAAATGACTTGTAGAGTACCTTGATTCTAGCTTGATTTTCCTTCTCCTTATCACTAAGCTGTTGATATACAGTGAATGCACTGCCAGTCAGTCATAGAGGAATCACATACTTAATGCATTTCATCCTGCACAGGCGACAAATTAGTTTGACTTTTTCCACCCATTCCAACACAAGAATAGAGTCATCGAACTCTGGGATGAGTTTTAAGTTGACTTTGTCTCCCATTTCACTGAAATAGCTTGTAGTCAAAAGAAGTTAGCAACTCTGTTTTGGAACGTAGTTTCAGATTGGGCATTTCTTCCCTCTACACCTATTTCTTGGTATTTATCATTGTTCACTTCCCTGTAAGTGCTTTGTTGTTTGTTCCTCCTGTCACAACTGAACGTATAGTACAATACATTGACCTCCCTTATGTCCATGATTGTCTACTTGTAATGGGGAATCACCAATCACTCGCCCAGATGATAGACATACTAGACATACGAACACCTCAGAATGGAGCACTAACACACCTGGATGTCCCTCCTTGATTCTGTCCAACCATTCTAATATTATACACAATTGCTAATAAACCAAGTTTTTGTGTGACAACAAAGAAGAAGGGTCTCCTTTGACAGAATGGTGCACTTGCCTTCTCTCAAATCAAAGTCCTACATGCCAAACAAAGACAAACTCTATTTTGTTGAGAATAAAGGAAGACCTGTTCACCATTTCTGCCATTCGACTCTGGTTCTGGTTTACTATGACTGCCACATAATTTTAAGCTATTTTTTGCATTTAAATCAGCTGACAAAATTATCAAGTTTAATCCTGAAAAATTTTCAAATTATTGTCTGAAAATATTGTTTCAATGATACACAATGTTTTAGAGACAAAATAATTTCTTAATCCCAAAATGATGCCTGGTAACTCTCAAATAACCTTGGAGGTTAGCATCACCTATCTTATCTTTTTCTTCCCAAGATACCTCCACATATGAATTTATCTCTGATGACCCTAGAAGTTGAATTTGACCTTATTTACTACTATGTGTGAAGTCAAATATCCTTTTTGTAACAAACTCAGTATCTCACTTCACTTTGCTAGAGGTACCATGGTGTGCTCTTTGATGACCTCCAGTGACCAATGAGGTCAAACTAACATAGCTTACATTACAACTGGATGTCTTGTGAATCTTCATGTCAATGTAGCAAATTCAATATCTTAGTCCATTTTTCTAAAAATGGTTTCCTTTAGCAAGAAATTGTTAATGACAAGTGAATTTCAATAATTTCTGAGCTCGACCTTGCATAACCTATGTCACTTGAGGTTTTGTTGTTATCCATACAAAAAACTAGACCTCTATAACTTTCTACTTGACTATGATGTCAAATACATACTGTAACAGCATAAGGAACTCTTTAATGTATTGAGTTACCTGCCCTTGTTTAACCCCTTGTATGTAGTAGTCCTTCAAACGAATGTGAAACAGAAAAAAGAAAAACAACAAAAGCAAACAAGAGAAGAAAAATACAAGAAAATAACTTTTTTTCATATTTAATCAGGAACAATATTTATATTTATAAAAAAAACAAAAGTTTTACAATAACAATAATAAGAGTTACTTCCCTTTGACTGGGTATTGACGGAATAAATAACCCACATTTTTTTTTTTTAATAAAAAGCAAACAAAAAGTCATTTTTTTATCCGAGCTCACAAAAACTGAATTAACTTGTAGTTCAAAATGTTCACTGAAAGAGAATCTTATAAAGCTGAAAATATGTTAATAAACTTTTAGCTTTAAAGAAGTTGGAGAAGTGAATGTTCCGTATGTTTTTGTTGCTCGTAGTTTTAAATGTATTGTTCGTAATTGTTTGTAATTAAAGTTCGTCTGGTTCAATAACGTAATTGAATAAGAATATAAAATTTTACAAGTTGGTGAGTGAGATCTTTCCTTGAAATTGTAGCTTGATTTTCAGTGAAGTAATTTCATGTTAAAGAACTTTAGGTTCCAACTTTGTACTTCGCTGCAGTAATGATTCAAGCGTCGTGAAGTCGATTAGCGAATTTGGTCGTCGTAAATTCTCACTGACAGGGTCCGCTCGTACCTTCAAATTTATATGTTCCTTCAACCACGTGACAGGCTCCGAAGGCATTGTTTTTTCGTCAGGTCAAAAACTAGGTTGACGTTGTTCGGACGTAGTGGTGAGCAGGTAAATTGTTTTTTAACACCTGTTAACCACTCAGAAAGCGCCTTACAAAACTCAGTCTGGAGCCTGATATGTTTTGTCTCGCTTATTGAGAACAATACACGTAAAGATAAATTTAATATTTATTATCCAATGAGAAGTTTAGGTTTTCAGAAACATTCATGAAGATGTGATCCGCTCTTTGCACGAAAATCGACATTTGTGAAAAAGTGGTAGCGGACAGCTAAAATACTCCACCCCCAGATTGAAAGTTTGAAAAGAAAAAAAAATTTCAATATGTATGATACTTCGCAAATTTTGTAGGCCAATGAACATGTCTGCCTGCTCTAGTTGTAGTTTTTGTCGGAGGAGTTTCAGGTTGAATATCCTTCTGCTGGGCGGAAGAATTTTGATCAAACGAGGTCGAAGAATGCTTATCGGCATCAATGAAAGCAGGTTTCAACCTGTCAATGCTGACAGTGTTTGTCTTATTATTGATTAAGATGGTAAAATATTTCGGTGCACGGGAAATAACTTGGAAAGGACCGGAATATGTCGGTGTGAGAGGTTTTTTAACTGCATCTCTGCGTAGAAATACAAACTCACAGTTTTCCAAAGTTTTCGGTACGAAAATTGCTCTGTCTGAAATGCGCGTTGGGGTAAATACGAGGTTAGACATGCGTTCTTTCAAGTCCTGAATAAAGTATGTAGATGGTCTTGTCGACACATCTTTTTCCATCATTTGACCGGGGAGTGTAAGTGGGCTCCCAAAAACAAGCTCAGCTGTGGTGCATTTTAAATCTTCCTTGACAACACTACGCAGTGCTAGCATTACTAGTGGTAATCTCTCAATCCACGATCGTGTGTCTTCGCTAGCTGTAAGTGCTGCTTTTAGTTGCTCAGAAACCTTTCTACCAAACCGTTTGCGCACGGATGGTAAGCTGTAGTTGTTATATGTTTAGTACCCAACAAGTTAGTAAATTCAGCGAAGAGGGTAGACTGGAATTGGGGTCCACGATCTGTAGTAATGACAGAGGGGCATCCAAATGTGGCTATCCACTCACGTAAGATTGTTTGTGCGATAACACTGGCGGTGGTTGATCGCAGGGGTACCACCACAGGCCAACGTGTGAAACGGTCCACTATTGTCAACAAGTATTCGTATCCGTCTACTTCCATTAAGGGACCGACGAGGTCGACGTGTATATGTTTAAATCGACCATCCGGTGCAGAAAAGTGACCAGGAGGAGATCTGGTGTGTTGTTGAACTTTCGACTTCTGGCATTTAATACATGTCTGCGTCCAGTGTTTTATGTCTGCAGACATGTTTGGCCAGACAAATCTTTCAGAAATGAGTTTCGTTGACGCTTTACGGCCGGGATGAGACATAGAATGAAAATGGTCGAAAATTTGTCTGCGCATAATAGGGGGCACGTAGGGTCTAGGGTGTTTAGTGCTAACGTCGCAAAACAAGTATGCCGCACTGAAAGGAATTGGTCGTTGCTCAATGCGCAGTGACGTGTCACTTTTCACTTTTTCTAGGGTGGCATCCCTCTGCTGTTCTCTGGCTAAGCATTCAAAATCTAATGGTTGCAACTTGACGGAATTCATTGTAGCTCTAGAAAGGGTGTCAGCAACGATGTTGTCGTTCCCGTTAATGTGACGAATATCGGACGTAAACTGTGCGATGTAGTCCAGCTGTCTTATGTCACGAGGGTTATATTTATCTGTTTTAGAGTGCAAGGCATACACTAAAGGTTTATGGTCAGTGAAAATTATAAAATTCCTGCCCTCTAACAGATGTCGGAAATGACGAACAGATAGATATATAGCAAGTAGTTCACGTGAAAAAGCACTATATTTGCGTTGTGCTGAATTTAATTTCACGGAAAAGAATGAAAGTGGTTTCTTCACGTTATCACTCTCCTGGTGTAATACGGCTCCTACACTATCAGCAGATGCGTCAGTAGTAAGAGAAAGTGTCGCTTCTTCACTATCCGAAACGTAAGATAATTT